ATTTTAGTGTAAACATGGAAAAACACAGAAATATCTTTGGGTAAAGTTCTAGATACACAATGTAGTTTTCCAATGTTTTTCCAATACTTTCTGTAGGGCTGGATTGGTGGATATGTATTGTTTGAATATGCTTTTGTCATGGAATATCTTGTTTTCTCCATCTATAATGATAGAAAGCTTTGCTGGGTATAGTAGTCAGTGTAGGTAGAATATCTATCCAGGACCTTCTGGCTTTCAGAGTTTCCATGGAACAGTCAGGTGTGATTCTGATAGGTTTGCCTTTATAGGTTACTTGACCTTTTTCCTTTGCTGCTCTTAATATTTTGTCTTTGTTGTGTATGTTTGGTGTTTTGATTGTTATGTGGCAAGGTGAGCTTTTGTTTTGGTTCAGTCTATTTGGTGTTCTGTAGGCTTGTATTTTCATTGGTATGTCTTTCTTTAGGTTGGGAAAGTTTTCTTCTATGATTTTGTTGAATATGTTTTCTGCGCCTTTGAGTTGGATTTCTTCACCTTCTATACCTATTATTCTTAGGTTTGGTCTTTTCACAGTATCCCATAGTTCCTGGATATTTTGTGATAGGTATTTGTTGGATTTAAGACTTTCTTTGGTTGATGAATCTATTTCCGCTAGTGTGTCTTCAACCCCTGAGATTCTCTCTTCCATCTCTTGTATTCTGTTGATTATGCTTACATCTGTAGTTCCTGATCGTTTACCCAGCTTTTCTATTTCCAGCATTCCCTCAGATTGTGCTTTCTTCATTGTCTCTATTTCCGTTTTTAGGTCTTGAACTGTTTCCTTGAGAGATTGATATTGATTGACTTGAAGATTGATGTCTTGTATTTTTCCATTTCTTTAAGGGATTTTCTCATGTCCTCTTTGAGGTCCTCTATCATTTTCCTGAAGATGTTTTTAAGGTCATTCTCTTCTGGTTCATCTTCATTGTGATGTTCAGGTCTTACTGGTGTATGGTTCCTAGCCTCCGGTGGTGTCATATTGGGTTTTCTGTTGTTGGATGTGTTTTTACCTTGTCCTCTTCTCATCCTTTCTTCTGGTGGGTGTAGCAAGAGTTTCTTGCTCTCCTGGTGGGTGTGGGACCAAGGTTCTCTTCTGGTAGATGCAAACAGATCCAATACTCTGTTGTCAGTCCTGTTCTCTTGGATGGAGGTGTCACTGTTCCCCGGGTGTCAGCAGTGTTTGGGAGTGCAGGGTCCTGGGCCAGCGGATGGAGGCGGGGCTGCCTCTGGGTGTTCAGGTGTTCGGAACCTGCTGCCGAACTGGTCCGGCACTCAGGTCGCTTGCGTCAGGTCAAGGCTTACCTTTTTTTATGGCCAAAGAACATTCTGTCGTGTGGACATCCTATTTATTCATTTTTTATTTTTAAGTGTTTTATTTTTAAGTGTTTATTCATTTTCAGTAGAGAATGGATAATTAGGGTTGTTTCCACTTCTTGGGTCGTACAAGTAAAGCTGCAGTGAACTTTTCTACCTCCCACCTCATAAGCATTAGTTTTCAGTTTTTTAGTGTATTACTAAGGTTAGAATCATACTGTAATTCTGTATGTATACTATAGTAATAGAATCATATTGCAATTCTGTGTTTAATTTTTTGAGGAACATCCAAGCTGTTTTTCTTTTCTTTTTTTTTAAAGTTTTTGTTTATTTATTATGTGTGCAACATTCTGCTTCCACGTATATCTGCACACCCGAAGAAGGCACCAGATCTCATAACCGATGGTTGTGAGCCACCATGTGGTTGCTGGAATTGAACTCAGGACCTCTGGAAGAGCAGTCAGTGCTATTAACCTCTGAGCCATCTCTCCAGCCCCCCAAGCTGTTTTTCAAAGTTGACATAGTTTATATTTCTACCAGCAATGTAGATAGATTCACTGTCTTTTAGACAAATGTCTGTTCAAGTTATTTACCCATTTACTATGGTATTTGTCTTTTTAGTGAGTCATAAGATTTTTTATATATTCTGGCCAGTAGCATTATTACATCATGTAAGTGATTCATATTTTCTCCAGTTGTATGGAATACTTTTCTATTTTCTTGTCATTTGACAAAGTTTTAAATTTAGATAAAGTCCAATTTGCCAACTGTTTTGTCACTTGTACTTTTATTGTCACAGCTAACCATTTTATTGGTTTAAGCTGTGCATTTAGGTCTTGGATCCATTGGGTTAACTTTCATTTGTGGTGTAAGATGAGGATCAAAATTCATTCTGGGATATGTATATATGTATTTTTCTCAGCACCAGGTGCTGAGAATATTGATCTTTTCAATTGAATGTCCTCAACACTAGATCTAAAAGCAATTACTTGCAGATATTTCTTTCTGAACTCATTTATATTCCCTCTGTTAGCATGTCTATCTTATTGCCACTGCCATGCTGCTTTGTTTCTATAGCTTTGTAGTGAGCTTTAAGATCAGAATGAGTCTTCCAGCTCTACTCTTCTGTTTTGAGATTGCTTGGCTGAGGTTCTTGGCATTTTGGGGTCAGCTTGCCCTTTTCACTTCTCTCAGCTATGTGCTATCATTTTTATTGTCTAAGTGTCTTTTTTATACGTATCTGTGTGCCTGTTTGTCTGTATGTGCAGCACATGCATTCAGCTGCCCATGGAGATAAGAAGAGGGCATCAGATCCCCTGGAACTGGAGTCATAGGCAGTTAGTTGAGGGCTGCCTGACTAAGGTACTAGGAACTGAATCTGGGTCCCCCACAAGAACAGCAAGGGCTCTTATTCTCTGAGCCATTTGCCCTTGTGTGGTTAAATTTTCTTAAACTGTTTTTAGGGGGTTTTGTGTGTGTGTGTGTGTGCGCGCGCGCGCACGTGTGTGTCGAGGTCAAAGGACAGCTTGCAGGAGTCAGTTCTTTACCATGTGAGTCCGGGAAATCAAGCTCGGGTCTTCAAGTTTAGCAGCAAGCAGACTTAACCTGCTGAGGCATCTTACTGACCCTTCTTCCGTTAAATTGATTCCTGAAGTACTTGATTCGTTTCGGTGCGTTATGTGTGGATTTTGTTGTCAGATTAATTTTTAGACTGTTTGTTGCCAAAACATGGTGGCATTATTGCTCCTGTAGGTTGATCCCCTTCATCTTCACTGGAGTAACATACTAGCTCTGATAATGATAACTGGTAGAATGCTGAAGAACATACTCTATATTCCATGGTTTTGCACTTTCCGCTCCAATCTGAGTGCATTTTGTTTCTTTTCTTACTCGACCTTCCCAGCAAGAACCTCTAATACACTGTTTAGCAGAAATGGCAAAAGTAGGCATCCTTGTCCTGCACCTGATTTTAGGTAGGACCATGTAGACTTTCACTGAGTATGTTAGCAGTGGTTTTGCATAAATGCTTCTTCTTTACCAGGTTGTAAATATTTATTCCTAGTCCTTAGTCTGTGGCGTTTTCTTCGTTAGATGTTCTTTCTATTGTAGGTGAGATAGCGGGCCATCTTTCTGTATGTGAGTGATTAGATATGTCTGTTACCTTACACCAAACTCCAGTTTTGACTGTGTCCAGCCTGGCAGCCCCCACTATCCATATGTTGTTTTGGTTAAGGTGCAGCTTGCGGTAAGCAGCCCAGGGAAGCCTCACTTTCTGCCCCCCCTCCTTACCTCATGCCCCTCATCATACCAGTCTGTAGAGCTGAAGTGTGGGGAGAGTGAGCCTTCTGATTGTCTTCTGCTACAGAAACAGTGTTACCTGCTTTATTTTTATTTCTTACATATTTCTATTTACTTTTAAGTGCACAGGTATTTTGTTTGCTTGTGTATCTGTGCACTACATGTATGCAATGCCTGCAGAGGCCAGAAGAGGGCATCGGATTCCTTGGAGTTACAGGAGGTTAGCTGCCATGTAGGTGCTAGAAATTGAACCCAGGTCCCCTTTAAGAGCAGTCAGTACTCTCAACCACTGAGCCACCTCTCCTACCCCAGTGCCTGCAGCACCTGCCTATTTGCCCCCAGCCTGCTCCTCTGTGGGAATGTGCTTGGCAACCCTCCTAAGCTGGTCCATTGTTGTCCCCAGAGACACCTGCCTCCCTCTGTAGAACACCTGCTTGAGAAAGTGCCTCTCCTGGCCTTCTGTCAACAACTGTTTGCCAAGTGATAACCTTTCTGGTTGACTTAGGAGAGACACCCTGGCCTTTCAGTACTAAAATTAATTCTAGTTACATCAATTTACTTGTGACATTTAGTGCTATAAAAGCTGATTGGCATCAGGTTATGGGCTTATCAGTCTTCCTTATCAGTGTGACATCTGCTCTCTAAGGCATTTACTTTGTTCAGAGTGTAGACCTGGAGTGTATTTATGGCAAATGGACCTGTATTTATTTTCCAAGATTCCTGTGACAATCCTCACCCTACCCCCACCCCAGGGATAGTATTGCAGGATGAGGTCTTTGGGAGATGTTTTAGGTCACAGGAGCAGAATGAATGGAATTAGTGCCCTTGTAAGTCTTCTAAGCACTCTTTCCACCAAGTCGAGAGTAAGATGTCTCTGTTTATGAACTAGAAAGCATGACCCTCCCCAGAGTCCGAGTCTGCCTCATTATGTCCTTTTTTGTTCCTGCAACTACAAGAAGTAAATTCCTATTCATGCTCTGTGCAGTTTAGAGTATTTGGCAATAATAGCCTAAGGCAGAACACATCAAAACCTACCAGATACTGTCCTTCTCACTAGGCTAAGCCTCTCTACCCATCCTTCCTGCTCCTTGCCCTGAAACGCATGATCTAGGCTCTGACTGCTCTGGTTCTCACCACCACTGGCTGAGGCCTCCCCTGACTACCTTATTAAAATCACGGTGCCCTCTTGTTCTCTGTGGTTGAGTTGCCTTTCCTTGTTCTGTTTTCCTCGAGAGCACGGACCCCCTAGGGAGTTGGGGCTCCAAGGAGTTTCCCCTTCTCCTCAGTGCCTGGCTCGTAGCAGTTGATAGGTAATTGCCAACTGAATGAATGTATCTTGTGTGAAGGCTGTGAACAAGCAGTACTAGACTGCAATGTGCTCGTCAGTGTATGCCCTACACCAGGGCACCCCAATCCCTGGTGCCTCACTGTGCAGCCTGTTGGTCAGTTAGATGTTTCAGGCCTCCCGCAGGAAGCTCCTTAGTCAGTTCTCCGCTGTGGCCCTGCCTTGAGAGTCCAAGCTCTTGTGCAGAGAGGAAGTTACTAAACACAGTAGTAATTGTCACTGTTTGAGGATGACTGAGGAATGTGTCTCAGATTTTCATTTTTTAGCAGGTGAGGATTATTAGAAGCCCCACCATCTCTCTCAACTTTGCTCTTTGCTTCTGTTATTTTGCCACATTTCCAGATACTGATCCCAAAACAATTATCCTTCCTTTGGCCTGTTCAGAAATCAGAGATTTCTCACTTTAGGATGAAGTATTTTAGGGAATAAAAATCCTAATGAAGTTTTAGTATATTTTTGGCATACTTGATTTCAGAGGACCTGATTGCCTTACTGTGCCTTGAGAGCATGAGAAATGGCAATATGAGGCAGATGGTCCTAAAAGAGTAGTTATCTCTTCTCCTTCCATCATCTCTTTCTCCAGGTTGTGTCAACCCTTCTCATAAACATAATCCCAGAGGACTACAGCCCCCTGAATTTATCTGGAAAGGCAAAAATTGGCAGTAAAGCCTGGGTGAAGGAAACTCCACGGCCTATTCCTGGCTTTGACCCTGACTCCATGTGTGAGTCCCAGGTATGACTGCTCTTTATAAAGTTGATTTCTATTCCTGTTGGTAGATTGACTTAAAACAAATCCAGAAACTGATGCTGTGCCTCAGAAGACAGTTTTGTCCAATGTGGTATCCACCTTTGTTTAAGAGTGGGAGGGTTGCTCTGTGCCCTCTGGCCCTCAGTATGAAACACCTGCTGATTTGGGAAGGCTTCCCAAAAGCTGGTGCTGATTCTGCAGTGCTTACAATGTAGAGGCCATGTTTTCTTTTAAAATCGCTGAGTGGTTTCCATTAACCAAATGCCTGCTCCAAACATTCAGAACCAGGCTTAGGGAAGGCCTGGTGGTCACCCGCAAGTGCGTTGTGGCTGTGAGAACACACCAACACCAAACATTTACAAGGCCTCTATGTGTTCTTGGTGAACACATAGTCTGCAGCTGACTGTATATTTTTAACAGGGCTTGCTTTCCTCTGTCTCTCTCTCTCTTCCCCCTTTCTTTTTCCTGCGGTGTTGGGTACTGAACCCAGGGTTCCCTGCGTGCTTAGCATGAACCCCATCCCCTGCCCTGTGCTGGGACTAACAAATGTCCTGTGTAGACCCAGAACAGCTACTTTTTCCCTGTATAGATGAACAGCTTACTGTGTGCAGTTAATAACTTAGCCAGTGTATGTTCATCTCCGTTTTTAAAGTATGTGTTAGTTTCACATTTTCCCTCCTTTTTTTCCCTGAAGGATTTGAGGCAGGCCACAGTAGAGGGACATACACAATAAAGCTAATAATACTTGACTTGTGTGGGTGACTCCTCCAAGAGATGTCCCCTGCAGCCTGGCATTGGTGACCTCTCCCTACACAGGTGATCATCAGGAAAGGGGAGCTACTCTGCGGAGTGCTGGACAAGGCACACTATGGGAGCTCAGCCTATGGCCTGGTTCACTGCTGCTATGAGATCTACGGGGGTGAGACCAGCGGCAGGGTTCTCACTTGCCTAGCCCGCCTCTTCACTGCCTACCTGCAGCTCTATAGAGGTTTCACCTTGGGTAAGTACTAGGCTTATGACGCTGGCTCTGCTAACCCTGCAGAATGGCATCTAAGCCACTTTCTTGGTGCATGTTTAGGCTCTTCCCTTCAGTGCAATTCATCCTGTCTGATTTTCCACGTATACTGTTCTTTTTCCCACCACAGCACAGAGCAGTCCTTCCTGTCCTGTCCCTTTCTTCACCCCACCCTTTATGATAGAAGAAGCTCCTACACCCAGCTCACAAGTGGAGACCAGATGTCTCCAACTGTCATGCTGGTAGCTTTGCAAACACGTGGCACAAATAGGAATGGCTCAAGCGCACCAATGATCCATGTGCCACAAAGCTGATAGAGGAAGCAAGGCCAGGCTAGGAGGGAGTAGAGCTTTGAGTGAGGGCTGGCTAACCTCATTCTAGCTCTATTTAGAAAAAGGTCATCATTACAAGGATGGCCTGGATGTGGCCTCATAGCAGGGCCTATGGTTTTGGCTTCCATGGAGAGGAATTTTTTCTGCTCAAATATAATCTTCAGAAACCTCCAGGTTTCCAGGCTGTTGTACTGGGGTTCCAGGTGTTTGTTCTAGTTTTTAAATAGTCTGTTGTTGCCTTCCCACTCAAACTATGGCTGGGGTATTCTTAAATCTGAAGCATTCACAGGTAGAAGCAAAATAGCATTGGATTGAAAAGAAATTACTGTTTCTGAGGCAGTGCTGAGAACTATTTGCTGTCCACAGTTGACATGGGTGTGTACTTGCATATGTACATATTCACAGCTGTACGTAGGGCTTCTGGATACTCACTGTCAGTCTCTCTTCTGCCACTGAACAGATTTTTATCCAAAATACCTAGCCTTTTCATCCCACACAGATTTAGCCAGCTTCTGGCTAAAAGACACATTTGTAAATCAAGTCTAGGCTTACTTTCTACTCATGTACTTCAATTTTGGAGCTTTGATTTTATTGCTTACGAAATGTGTAGGCTTTCTTAAGCATGCACTGATGTTATATCACTCGTCCAGAGCTTCCTGTATCTGTGACTCTGAGCTTTGGATCTGAGCATCACCAAGTTTACAAGCCAGGGAGACTTTAGGCTTGGGGCCTGTTGAACTTACTATCTGTTTGACTTTGCAGGTGTAGAAGACATTTTGGTTAAACCAGATGCAGATGTAAAGAGACAGCGCATAATTGAAGAGTCCACCCAGTGTGGGCCCCGGGTAAAGAAGAGGGTTGGGAGGTTGTAACCTGCTGTCCAGAGGCCAGTTATCTTACAGACTAAAAACCACATCCTTGGCTACCCTGTCCTGTTCCTTTCTTCATTCTAGGCTGTCAGGGCTGCATTGAACCTGCCAGAAGCTGCATCATGTGATGAGATCCAAGGGAAATGGCAGGATGCCCATCTGGGCAAAGACCAGAGGGATTTTAACATGATTGATATGAAGTTCAAGGAGGAAGTGAACCATTACAGCAATGAGATCAACAAGGTTAGCCTAGCCATAAAATGCACAGATTCCATCTTTTTGAATGCTGGTTTTTGTTGATTTGTTTTTAATTACATCTTGATTCTCACCCTGGACCCTTTAGAGCAGTCTATTTAACAACTAAGTAGGTGAGGTTTGGAGTTGGGTAGATAGACTCCATCTTTGTGAAGAGCTCAGGGTCTCATTCTCTCCATTAGAGTTCTGGAAGGCCTTGGGTTCATGCTAAAAAGGGAACACTTTTTGCGACATTTCTAAATGTGTTTGCTTTGGAGTTGCTGCATTAAAGGGGACTAAAGAAGGAAGCTGGGCTGTAGAGCCACTCCACTATAGTACATGAACAGAATGAAGGGGCAGAAGCCATAGCTGCTTACTTAGTAGAGCCAGGAGTGAATGCCTGCCTTCAAGTTCATGTTGTGCTTTGTACTTGCTGTGTGACCTTATGTAAGTGGTGTGACAGAGCTCCTAGAAGCAGGACACCCAGGACACCTCCGTAAGTGGTGTGACAGGACTCCTAGAAGCAGGTGTGTGAGGAGCCCTGCTTCACAGTGCTTGTAGAGAGGGTTAGGCGCATGTACAGTGCCAAGCCCAACCTGTGGCAGTTCAGGAGGAGAGGGGAATCTGCCTAGGTTGAGGTCACAGCTTGCTTCTCCCTGTGCTCCTGCTCCAGAGCCTGAACTCCCTACCCCGTGGTTTTGAGGAGGAGCCAGCATGGCTTCCACTCTGCCTGATAGATGCCTGAGGAAAGACAGGACAAGGCTATCATGCAACATCAGAGTTTGTCTGTGGGTCCCCTTCCTGCCTTACGGCATTCATTTGGTGGCCTAGGAGATAACTTTCCTCAATAGAAGTTTTTATTCAGAGGGCCTTCTAGTACAGCCTGGGAAAGCAGGAGCCTTGTCCACCAGGGTTGAGAGAACACATCTTAGAATAGCTTCTTGTCCTACAGCTCCCACTTCCTGCACTCTGCCCCGCCTGTGTTGACTCGGGTGTCTGGATCCTCAGGCAAAGGCTGAAACAGATTCAGAGCCCATGTCTTTGTCCCCCAGGATGTCTTTACCTTTTGAATGTGGAATTTCAAAAAAAGATGAAGTCACTGACCAGTGTGCTGATTTAATCCACAGGCATGTATGCCTTTCGGCTTGCACAGACAGTTCCCTGAGAACAACCTGCAGATGATGGTGCAGTCAGGAGCCAAAGGGTCAACTGTGAACACGATGCAAGTATGAGCAAAAGTACCTTATCCAGTGTGCCAGAGGGGTGGGCTGCTGTCAGGAGTCAGCTTTCTGGTTCATTTCTGATTTCAAAACATCTTCAATCCATATAAAATACATCTGAGAAGACTGAAAAACACTAACGCATATAGACACCATGGAGGTGTATTCTAACATGCATTGTGCTGCATATATGCATGTGTTATGTCTGCACACTGTGTGTCTATGTAAAATTTCACTAGAGATCTTGATGTTGAAATGAGGAGATGGCTCAGTAGATAAAGTTTGTGCTTCACAAGCCCAAGGACCTGAGTTCAGATCTCCAGAACCCACCAAAAACCCAAAAAAAAAAAAAAAAAAAAAAAAAACACAAAAAGCTGGCAGTGGTAGGGTAGGTGCCTTCTTGGAGGGCAGGAAGGGTGGGGGCGGACGACAACGACAGACACAGATGGATGGATGACACACATGATGGCGACACATCCCTGAAGTTCATTGGCAGCCATCCTAACCAAATTAATTGTTTCGAAGTTCAGTGAAAGACCCTGTTTTAAAACATAAAGGTGACAAGAGATTGAGGAAACGCCACCGTCACACTCTGGCCTTCGCAAGGACATACATGTTTTCATGCCTGCACTTAACATGCACACACACAAGCTTTTCTTTTTTCTTTTTTGTAGTATCATTCCTTTTCTTCAACATTTTTTTAATTTATTTTTTATATTCCAATCCCAGTTCCCCCTCCCTCCTCTCCTCCCACTCCCTCTACTCCCCCCTCCTCCCATCTGCTCCACGGAGAGGGTAAGGCCTCCCCTAGGAAGTCTACTAAATCTGTCTCATCATCTCATTGAGGTAGGATCAAGGCACCCCCACACACACACACACACACCCCTGTGTCTAGGCGAGGCAAAATGTCTTTCCATATAGAAAGGGCTCCACTAAATTAGTTTGTGCATTAGACACACACACAACTTATGATTTTGCATGATCTACTTTTTTCATTTACTGTTGTATTATAAGCATTCTTCTAAGGATTGTTGAGTCTCATTATCTTCCCAGAGTTCCTTGGTACTATGGAGGCATTTTCAAATCTTAGTGCCTGTTTTAGTGTAGGTTTTTCATTTTCAATCCTGATGACCTTGAGAGACTCTTAAGGGACATGTGCCATTGTTCAGTAAGCACCAAGACACAGGGTGGGCTTAAAGGCTGAACACCTTGCCAAAGCCCATTCTAACTAAAGGAAAATACAGATACATCCCCACAGGAGTATCACATACAGTTTCCTAGGCATACAGACGAGTGGGTTGACTTCTCTCTGGCTCTAGGATTAGTTTTTCCTGTGGACTTCCATTTCCCCATTGGAACTTTTCTTGGTTAGGTTTTTATTGCTGTGATAAAACACAGGGACCAAAAGCAGCTTGGGGAGGAGTTTATTTCATCTTGCAACTCTCAGGTCATACTCAATGGGTAAGAGAACTCAAGTAGAAACTCGAGGCAGGACCTGGAACAGAAGCTATGCAGGATACTACTTACTAACTGGTCCCCCTGGCTTGCTCAGCCTGCTGTCTTATTCAACTCGGGACAACCTGCTCAGGGGTGATACTGCCCCCAGTGAGCTGGGCCCACCCACATTAATCATTAATCATTAACAAAGAAGATACACTACAGGCTTGCTTCCAGGCAATCTGATAGAGGCATTCTCTCAATTAAGGTTCCTCTGCCCAGATAGTTGTAGCTTATAGAAAGTTGTCAAAAAACCAACCAGGTCCTTCCAGATAGAACATGATGATTACGAGTCACAGCTTCTTTTCTAACTAAGCATCACTTGTTCTCAACTGTCTCCAAATGGGAAAAACAAGCCAGAGCCAACTTTTTCTTGAAATGTGCTTCCATGACTCATTTAAACATCTAGTTGGCCTTCTAGATCTATTTCCAAATGCTTTTCTTGAAGGAAAGCTAGAAGTTCTGTTCAGAGAAGTGCCGCTTAGTACTCACAGAATCCTCTGAGTGTCGTTTGTGTTTCCTTTCTTCAGATCTCTTGCCTGCTGGGCCAGATCGAGTTAGAAGGTCGGAGACCCCCACTGATGGCATCTGGCAAGTCACTGCCCTGCTTTGAGCCTTATGAGTTCACCCCCAGGGCTGGTGGCTTCGTCACTGGAAGGTTCCTTACCGGTATCAGGCCTCCTGTATGTGTATTTTTAGTATTTTCCCTCAGTTTTAGACCTAGTAGTGGTGACCTTATCAATAACAGTCTAAGAACAGTCAAGTGAAAAATGGTAAAGGCTAGACCACAGGTTCCAAGAACACATAGGCACCACATGGCGATCACCATTGTGATACTACAGCTTGCAAAGTGCCAGCATGTAGTAGGCATGTTATAAATGTTTAGTGGTAAAATGAAAAGATGGAGTCAGATGTGGTGGCTCATCCTGCAATCCCAGTATTTGCCAAGGAAGGAGGATTGTCATGTTTGAGTCCAGCCAAAGCTGCATAGCAAGTCCTTGCCTCAAAAGAAAAATAAAAAGAATAGCTTGATCTTGGCCTCACCCTTGGCTGTGATGTAGCCTCTCTAAGACAGTTCTTTGCTGCTTCAGATGTAACTAGGAGCATGATGGAGATTAAATTAAAATTTTATGAAGTCCCCAATTTCCATTCCCTCCCCTCCCTCCATAATAGTGGGACATCTGTAGAAGGTACCTAATTCTGCTTCAGCAAATGCATTCCTTTTGCATGTTAGTACCTTGGTTCCATGGTGTCGTGCATGTCTAAAAGAATGCCAGATCTAGAGGGGACTATTCCAAGGTTGCCAACTACTCCACTGACTCCACACAAGCATTCCCAGGGTCATCCACAGCCTATAGGCAAGAGATAGTAGTAGCTTGATGTAGACTATTTCAAATTCTGAGAGTTAGAGGCCAGCCTGGTCTACATAGTGAGTTCTAGGACGTCCAGAGTTACATAATAGAGAGACCCTGTCTCAAAAAAAAAAAAAAAAAGAAAAGAAATCATTGTAGTAGATAGTGTTCAGAATTCCCATAATGTAATAATGTAATAAAACAGAGTAGAGTGGTAAAGAAAATAGTCTTGTCCTATGTAATAAGGGATGAGATAGTACCATAAAGTTGCCTTGAGTTCTTTCTCTTTCTCAGTGTGTTTGCATGTATGTGTGTGCATGTTTGCTGATGGATGTTGTAAATGTATTCTTCCTGTGTTGAAAGTCAAAATTTTGGAAAAGCTATATAGACAATAATATTTCAAATTCTGACTCCCATCCTTTAGTGTATCAAGAAATCATTGAGCTGGGTGTGTGAGCTGTCATATAGCTCACACTGTAATCCCAATTATAGCTCATAACTGTAATCTCAATTAGTCAGGAGCCTGAGGCAGGAGGATGACAGATTCAAGGTCAGCTTGCACTACATATGAAGGAAGCCCTTATATCAAACCAAAGAGAAGTTTGGGAAACACCTTAACTGCCGAATCCAAATATGGGATTTATAGGATGGTGTTGAGCATCAGCATTGCTTCTCTCTGGAAATGTGGCATGAAGTGTCTTGAGGATGACATAGTGCATAGGGCTTTCGGCTCCTGCTGCTTTTGATCCACACGTCCCTCTACCTCAGGCAGGGAAGAGAGAGAGACCCTAAGGGACCACAGAAGTGTTTAGGAGCCATTGGGCTTGTGAAAGCTAGGGTTCTATGATGTAGGAAGGGAGCAGTCTGTGTGGCTAGGAAAGGGTGCATGGGGGTGGCACCTGAGTGGCCCTCTAGGGAATACACTATGCTCAGTGCCACCTCTGAGGTTTGGCTCCCACATTTCCATAGGAGTTCTTCTTTCACTGCATGGCGGGACGAGAAGGTCTGGTGGACACAGCTGTCAAAACCAGCCGATCTGGCTATCTCCAAAGGTAAAAGCGCCTGTAGCCTCTGGTGGGTGGGGTTGGTTTCCCAGGACTTTGCACCTGTCATGTGTCATGAGAATTCTTTGGATGATATAATCTCTTTTAAATGACTCCATGTGTGGCCTGCAACAGAAAGTAGCACAGAGTATTTCTGCATTACTGATGGAGCATGCCCTCAGAGGTTTACACAGTAGGCCTGTATTCTGCAGGTCTTCTACAAGTGCCCAACCTGTGTGCTGCCTGTACTTCAAAATATCTTTTAACACAGCCCAAAACAAAATTGTAACCTAGACATTATGAAATTCTTTATGCATATATAAAGCTCGGTTACCCAGTTCCCAGGGGTGAGCTTTGTAGATGACAACATGATCAGCAGGGTCAAAAGGTTGTACATGTCTGGTTGGCAGTGGTGAGCTTGTCCTTTGTTTGAGAGGCTCAGCAACCTGGGATAAGCAGAGTACCCTAGTAAGAGGTGTCTCCCTGGGAGGCCACCAGCCAAGACCTTTTCTTTCCTCTCTGGTGGAAAAGGTTAGGTCGTGTACCTAGCCTTGTTATGGAGATGGGGGGACTGGATTTTAAACCTAGACAAGTCCAACTCTAGGGAGCAGTCATACAGGCAGCAGATCCCTGCATTCTCTTGTCCATGCACATCGCTGTCCCAAGTCTGTCCCTGCTCTCCCCCTCCACAGTGCAGAGTGGGAGGTTCAGTCTCTGGGGATTTTTGTCATGGTTCTTTCTGAGCTCGCTTCTGAGAATGATAGAAATGGAGTGCACGGAGACCCCATACTTCTTCAGCTGTTCTGCTGAGCACTGGGGGACAGGGGGACAGTCAGCATGGGTCCTCCATGTCTTTCCCTCAAAGCTTTGCTCACTGGTTACTGCTTTGACATTTCTCCTGTTTCTGAACTCAGACTTGCCAAGCCTGCATATCCTGTTCTGGTCTCTTCCTCCTTGACTCAATGGCAGTAGAGTAGGGAGGACAAGAGTAACATTGAGGTGGACACACTCCCGAATGGCCTGTTGGTAAGAAGCAGATCTGCAGAGCTGGCAGTGCCCAAGCAGGTCAGGGAAGTCAGGTCGGTCCCCTTCCTTCCCAGGAACTGGCCTAACCAATTCCTTCGTATGAGCAGATGTTGGGCCTCCGTTCACCGTCAATTGTTCAAGGATGCATGTGTAGTGTAAGAAAAACTGGGAAGCACATGAGCAGTGAACTCTGGGAAAGGTAGAATCTAATCATGGGACCCTATAGAAATAAGAGTAAACAGCAGGGGGGGGTGTCGGAGGCTCTGGCTGAACAGAAGAGCAGCAGCCATTGGGGCAAAGGTGCATACCTCACAGGGTTCACCTGCCAGTGGGAACTCGTAAAGGCTCAGGAGTGAGGAAGCACTGTGCAGGCTTCAGGTAGGGGAGGTGGGGAAGGCAAAGAACTGCTCGCTGAAGTTTTCAGGCCTGAGAGGCAGCACAGATCCAAGTTGATGGGAAGCAGAAAGAGCATTGTAGCAGAGAGGGCAATGTGGCTGCCTGTGATGTGACAGCAGGAGATCCCCAGCAGGCATGGCAGTGGGCTGCTGGAGATAAGACCCGAAGCTCAGGGAACAAGTCTAGAGACGATCCTGTAAGGCCAGCATAGCAGAGGGCCAAAGACTGGTATCACCACCATGTGTAGTAAAAGGAAAGCTGGTGCTTGGCCTAGCTTGCAGTACATCATGAAAACTGGTGGCCAAAACTGAGCTCTGCCCTTCCAGCTTGGGTTGGATGTTGGAGGAGAGACAATAGGGTCTTGGGAAACTGCAGTAGACTTTTGAGTTGTAACCAGGACAAAAAGCAAGAGAGGGTGAAGGAGAGAGACAGCTACCACTAGAGTACTGAAGATGAAGGCTTTCAGATTAAGGACGTCATGTCAGCATTTAGTTCCTAAGGATGCCCCTTGTTATCTTGGCAGTCTCTACACCAACATTTTCTTTCCTTTGCCTGCCATGATTCTAAGGCTGCCCTTAGAACTCTGAGATACAGGAGAGTGGAAGGATGAGGAGCAGCCCCAGCAGCCAAGCTTGATGGGAGCCTGGATCTGGGAGTATGGCAGCCAGACCACTGAGGTGGTCTCTTCCTGGAAAATTGACAGGAAATGTAGCCTCTTGCTAAGGGATGCTAGATCCCAGGGCCTGGGCACTGGAAGTTGTGTTTATCTGAAACAGTAGTCCCCTTCCTTCTCCTTTACTGTCACTGTTCTCTCAGAGCCCCCTGGGAGGTGTTTGCCCTGTGGGCACTGAGCAGGGTGTGTCCTCACAGGTGCATCATCAAGCACCTGGAGGGGCTGGTCATCCAGTATGATCTGACAGTCCGTGATAGCGATGGCAGTGTGGTACAGTTCCTGTATGGGGAGGATGGCCTGGACATCCCCAAGACACAGTTCCTGCAGCCCAAGCAGTTCCCCTTCCTGGCCAGCAACTATGAGGTAAGGTCAGGTTACTATGAGGTAAACTCTTGTGCCTGTGGGTGATGGCTAGAGTCCCGTTACTCCATCCATGTGACCATTGAGAAAAACTGGAAGTTTGTAAAGCCCCACCAGTGTCCTGAAGCATTTTATATCTTCAAAGCTCCTGCTTAAACCAAGGCCACATGAGGTCATGGCAGCACATGTGTATCGATGGGGTCAGGGGGCCTTCAAGTGAAACACATAGCAAGCGCTCTTAGTTCTTGCTGCAGTCTAGGGCTGTAGCCGCACTCTACAGTGCTGAGGAAACTAAATGCTGAGCTATGGTAGCCAGCTGGTGAGAGGCAGAGCAAGGGGTTTAAACACAGACCTACTTTACATACATCTGTAACTTTTATATTCCTTAATGCCAAGAAATGGCCATCACTGTGGACTGAACAGTTACTCTGAAACCATCATGAGCTGTCCAGGAGTTAGTGGTTTTTGTTGTGGTGGTTTTGTTTGTTTTGTTTTCTTTTCAAGACAGGGCTTCTTTGTGTAGCCCTGGCTCTCCTGGAACTCTGTAGTCCAGGCTGGCCTTGAACTCACAGAGATCCTCCTGCCTGTGCCTCCCAAATGCTGGGATTAAAGGGTGCTACCATCACTGGGCCAAGACTTAGTTCTGATGGCAGGATTAAGATCCCACTCTTGGCTGGGCTCTTGTCTTTATTGCACCTGTCTCAGTACCTGGACCTCTTCCCAAGGCTGCCCTGAATGAGCTGCTCTCTCTCCCCATAGTGAGGACTTTATTCACCAATGGGTGTTTGATCCTCCAAGAGGTGTCCTGAGGACTCTTATGTACCTTGGGTGCCTTAAGTTATGCAGTGTGGCCCACCTTTCATGTTGTCATCCTACCTGTGTGGTTTGTTTGTTTAGGTGATAATGAAATCCAAGCATCTTCATGAAGTTTTAGCCAGAGCAGATCCCCAGAAAGTGCTCCGCCACTTCAAAGCCATTAAAAAGTGGCATAGCAAGCATTCCAATGCCCTGCTGAGAAAAGGTGCCTTCCTGAGTTTTTCCCAGAAGATTCAGGCAGCTGTGAAAGCCTTGAACCTAACGGGCAAGAACCAGAATGGCCGCAGCCCAGAAACCCAGCAGGTAACGTGGGGAGGCTGTGTCTTTAGTGCCTGGCATGTTCCGGCCTCAGCTAGAGGAAGGATAAGTTGCTCCGTAATAAAGAACGCTACTAGTCAAGATGCCAGTGGCAGCCATGTGAGAACATAACTAGGAGACTCATTAAAGAGTGTGAGTAGTAGGGCTTGAGGGGATTACTTGGGCTGGTGGCATGAAGGGTCAGGGAGACTAGAGGGAGGGTAGCTGTGAGCAGAGCTCTGGGTAGAGATCTGTTAGAGAGAGGGCCAGCCTAGGTTGGGGAGAGGGGTGCTAACTAGCATTTGGTAGTCACCTCACTCCTAGTGTTGTGGTTGCCTGGGGCAATTACTCGCCTCTTATCATTCCATGATCATGACACTGCCCATTTGATTCCAAAGGAGTCCCAGTTGGACAGTAAATAATGATGTCATGACCCTACTGTGCTTCAGACAAGCCAGGATGAATTATGAATTGCCAAAAGCATTCTAGTCAACAGCATGCCTTGGGACAGAGTCTGTTCCCCTGTTTTAAGTGTTGAGGTAGTTCTTACCTCACCACAGCCAGGTTTCTGCCTTGCATTTTTCTTTCATCCAAAGCCAACCCTTTGAGTCTTTTTTTTGGGGGGGGAGGAGGGGGGATTCGAGACAGGGTTTCTCTGTATAGCTTTGGAGGCTGTCCTGGCACTTGCTCTGGAGACCAGGCTGGCCTCAAACTCACAGAGATCCGCCTGCCTCTGCCTCCCGAGTGCTGGGATTAAAGGCATGTGCCATCACCTCCCAGCTCCCTTTGAGTCTCCTTGTACCACTCGCTATGTGTGGAGTTGGTGATGCCCTCCCATCTAGCTAAAATGCATGTTGCCATGTGTTCAGATGTTACAGATGTGGTATGAATTAGATGAGCAGAGCCGATGGAAATACCAGAAGAGGGCCGCTCCTTGTCCCGATCCTAGCCTGTCTGTGTGGCGCCCAGACATCTTCTTTGCCTCTGTGTCTGAAACATTTGAAAAAAAGATTGATGACTACAGTCAGGAGTGGGCAGCCCAAACAGAGAAGAGTTACAAGAAATCAGAGCTTTCTCTCGACAGGTGAGGACATTGATCAGTGCCATTGCGTATGGGCCACCTGACCCACTCCAGAAGAGGAAGGCAACTTCCACTTGCAACCCAGAAGGTTTTGCCTTCAGAAGCACCTAGAAGAACATGTATGGACATGTAGCTCTATGACATCCTCCACATGTGCCCTGCCCTCCACCCGTAGTTGCTCATACACATCCCAGTTTGTTGAGCCCCTTCCGTGTAAGACAGTGGTTGTTGCTAATGGGCCAGCCATCTGGGAAGGATGGTTAGTTAGTACATTGCACGGTTGGTTATACAGTGCACACGTGTGAGGTGATCTCCACAGCCAGGTGCACACCTCTAACTCTGACTGCTTGGTAAACCTGAACCTATTTCCAGGTTGTTCAGCAGGAAGTGTAAGCCTTCTCCAAACTTCTCTTGCTAGTGGGGGAGGGGATATGAATGGTCCCCAAAATAACCACTGCTCAGAGGCTTGTTTACTGACCTGACAAGGACAGGTGATGTTCTTGTGGCAAACCTGAACAATTCAAACAAGGAACCAGCTAGGGCTTTGTGTTTCTGGTTTCTGGTGGTGTGGTGGACAGTCTGATACTTGTTCTTCATTCCTGCTGTCCCCTTATGTCTCCAGGCTGAGAACCTTACTGCAGCTGAAGTGGCAACGCTCACTGTGTGACCCAGGCGAGGCTGTTGGCCTACTGGCCGCCCAGAGCATCGGGGAGCCCTCCACACAGATGACACTGAACACCTTCCACTTTGCAGGCAGAGGCGAGATGAATGTCACCCTGGGTATTCCAAGGTATGGGGCACAAGGTTGTAGCTGTGCAGCTGTGAGGTCTGCTGTAATGCTCCTGGAAAAGGAGTTATTTTATGAGAGGGACAGGGAAGGGGAGCTAGTGAGTGAGAGATTAGGTCTCTTCTTTTGTTTTTTGTTTGTTTGTTTGCTTGCTTGTTTGTTTTTTCGAGACAGGGTTTCTCTGTGGCTTTGGAGACTGTCCTGGTACTTTGCTCTTGTAGACCAGGCTGCTCTTGAACTCACAGAGATCCTCCTGCCTCTGCCTCCCGAGTGCTAGGATTAAAGGCGTGTGCCACCAACGCCCTGCTAGAGATTAGGTCTCTTCTAAGTAAGGATCCCCAGTTGAAATTCTGGAGTATATTCGGAGCCTGAGTAGTTTCTGTTTAGGATCTCTGTTTATCCCCCTGCCACTTCCTTCATCAGGTCAGCGGAGATCCTTGTAAGACCACACGCAAGGAAGTGTTAACACTACCACAGTGCCCCCTGGTTGCCCGACTCCAGGAGTGCCATTCCTACAGCCAAGGCCCTTTAGGGACATATTCATGCGCTGTAGTGTGATGATTGCTGGGGAAGCATCAAGTTTGGGCCCACACTCCTGGTGTTCACTCGGTGGTCATTCCATTTTCTGACAGATTGACTCTGGGTAGCTCCCCAACTTCCCAACATGAGGGTTCTCTCCCGTGACTGCAGGAGGCTGAGCCCAGAGACTAAGTGGTTAAGGGTGGCGCGGCTCAGTAAGAATGCTGAGGGCTGGTTAGTCTTTGCTCCATCTCTCATCCGTTTGGTAAGCTCTAGCTACTGAATGCTGAGATTGGTGAAGGAAGCAAGCCTTAGATATAACTCTGCACATGAGGAGCCAGTACTGCAGGGAAGAATCTGGCAGATTTCCAGATCTGGAAGAATCTGGAAATATGATAAATTATATTTCCCTGTAATATCCAAAGACTTCTCATACCACAGATGAACTCTGCCATCTTTTTTAAAAAGAGGTTTCCAGCAAACAAAATCTGGTTATGTCTGATGAGATGTGTCCTTATTCTTTGACAGACTGAGGGAGATTCTCATGGTTGCCAGTGCCAACATCAAGACACCCATGATGAGCGTGCCTGTGTTCAATACCAAGAAAGCATTGAAGAGAGTGAAGAGCCTAAAGAAGCAGCTCACCAGGGTGTGCCTGGGGGAGGTAACTGTCTTTGTACAGGGTTTCACACTGGGTGGAGACCTAATCCTGCATCCTCCTACCCCAGTAGAGCAGCCTGCTGGCAGCTGAGCCCCAGACTTCCACCAGGGAGATAGATGCTATCTGTGCCAGGTGCTAAGCAGAAAGAAGCTTTTAAGATCATTGCGAATTCCAGAGTCTCTGCCTGAAGAATGCAGTAAGAGCACTCCCCGAGTTAACTTAGCACACTGCAGGAGGCTCACACTCTGGAAGTGCTTTCTAGGCTATGCACTCTCCAGCAGAGCTCACCACGGTTTCTTTGAAGTCTGAGGCCTGAATGGGTCACACTGTCTGTTCATCTGATTCCAGGTATTGCAGAAAGTGGACGTCCAAGAGTCCTTTCATATGGGAGAAAAACAGAACAGATCCCGGGTCTATGAGCTCCGGTTTCAGTTTCTGCCGCATGCATATTACCAGCAGGAAAAGTGCCTGAGACCTGAGGACATCTTACACTTCATGGAAACCAGGTCAGCACTCAGCTGTGTTCATCTTTGACTTTGCCCATGAAGTACTCCTGGCATGAGACCATAAAGGAAGTATTTTACAAAACAGTAGGCCCTGCCACCTAATATGGAACCCTCACCCCAATCTGGGCCTGTTAGTGTGGCCCTCTGAGTCAGCTTGTCTGGGATTGATGAGTCCTCTCCAGCTTATGGTGTCGCGATCTGGAAGGACCTGTCCGGAAGCAGACCGTTCACAGTGATGCTCCGTGGTGCAGACAGCACATGGTGCAGAGCTGTATGCTGCAGGATCCCAGGCTGTCATGTGGCTCCTTGTTATTTCTAGTCTGCTGATAGGGACTTTAAGCCACTTCTGTAGATAGATACTCCCTGCTGAGAAATTCTGGTTTCTATCCTCTAGGGAGAATGAACTTCCTTTTTCTCTCAAGTTCAAGTTACTGCTGGGTGTTTGAAAGCTCAGGCCATAATGCTGAGTGTCCACGGTCGGAGAGTGGGAAGATTTACTCACTGACCTGATGGTGGTGAAGCAGGTTCGCAGGCCACTGGCAGAGTGTGGAACCTATTTCAGGAGGTTGGCAAGAATGTGGGCCAGGGTGCCCATATCTTCTGATTTCAAACATGAAAGGCTTGTCTCCTCTTGCTGTCTTGTTACATGCTTTTGCTTTGGGTAGGGAGAGGGAGAAAAAGAAAACCTGTCTCCTAACGTTTTAAGTATCAGCAACTACTACATACACTTTTAGGCAAAAGAGATACCATCATTAACAGGATTCAGCCTAGGCCCCTGACCACTGCCATTAATATAGACAGGATCCCAGGTCTCTTCAGAGCTGCTAACTCGTAGAGAACCAGGCCAGCAAGATGGCTCAATGGGTAAAGACACATGCTGCCAAGCCTCGGATTTGATCCCTGGGACCTCAGGGTGGAAGGAGAGAACTGCCTCTTAACAGTTGTCTGTCCCCTGACCTCTATTTGCACACCGGCATGCATACACATAATGCAAAGATATGGAGTACTAAAGTCAGGTCAAAGAAGAAAGTTTTCCTTCAGCCCTCCCATTCCTATGCTGAGTTAGTCCAGTCAGTTACTGAGGTGGGCAAGACCATAATAAAGGCACTATTTTGCCTCTAGCCCTTTATTGTCCATTCCTAAAGATAAGGGCACATTGGTAACTGGCCTTCTAAGCAGATGACCTTTAGGATGGTTGTCAGAACTGTTGAGCTTGGATCAAAATGAGGTCGTTTGGACAGGAATCACTGGCTGGTGATCCTGCCCAGGTGATAGGAGCCCTGAATGAGATTGCTGACTGGACTTCTGTCAGTGCCTCCTTTGTTTATTCCATCAGGCTCCTTCATGTGCTCTGGGACACTGGGCAAAGTTACAGGAGCACAGTGTAGATTCCAGCCTGCCAGCTTGTTAATTAACAGAGAAAAGGAGGATTCCCAAGTTCTGCGGATGTTTATACTGGCATGGAAGCTCTCTTCTAAGAAGTGGGAATCAGAACCACAAGTCCTCTTTAGGATGATTGAGAGGGGGCAGAGGTGACAGCTTGCTCAATTTCTCTTCACCCAGACAGATGCTTTAGCTGTCACACAGGTAGGACACCATGAGACACATGCCAGCTGAGCTTAGAGTTCTGTCTACCTTGTGAAAATAGTAAATCACTTTTAAAAAAGATTTATTTGTATTACTTTAATTATGTGTGTATGTGTATGTCTGTAGAGGGTATGGACATATTGTATGCAGGTGTCCACAGAGGCCAGATGTCAGATCCTCCTGACGCTGGGGGCAACATAGGTGCTGGGAACCAAACTGGGGTCCTTGGGAAGGGCAGTAAGTGCTCTTAACCACTGAGCCATCCCACCAGCCCACCAGTCTGTACACCACCTTTTTGTTTGTTTCTTCCCAGCAAGTGACAATTCTGGCTTGTTCCACCAGTAAAGTACTTTTTCAGCTCCTAGGCATGTTTTGCTTGTACACTTGAAAAGCTGTGATAAACAAGGCATTGTGTAGTCACTTTGGGCAGAGGTAGTCGCAGTGACTCCTTAGCAGGCCTTTGAGTCTCGGGCAGATTAAAGTACGAGCAGCCTGGAATCTGGGCTGCGGTTTTAGAGTTCCTTTGTCGGCCCAGGCAATGAGTGACTCAACCACTTAAGGCCTGAGAGCTCACAGGAAATGGAAGGGGGGCGTGAGAGCCCTCCCCCTGCAGCTGTCTCTCCTCTCTTCCCTTTTCCTGCTTCTCTCTCCTCAGGAGAGACTAGGAGATTTTTTAAAAATCCATAATGGAAAGAAAAGCAGCAGAAACAAAGGTGTTCCTTGCACAGATGGTCTTAAATGTCTGCAGACACTCATCACTTAGAATATTTATGTGACTAACCTGGAAGAGTGAGCCAGGGAGGTAAAGTGGAAAGAGCACTGAACTGAGAGTCAAGAGCTGTAGGTTCTGGCTCCTGCCCCCACCATGAACTTGACCCAGTACCCTCTTCTGCAGTCAGAGTGACTGAGCAGAAACTGATTCTTGAAGCAGCAGGTGGTGGGGATGTTGACAGGTAATTTTTGGAAACATTGAAGGGTCATGTTCCCAGTTCATTCACACTTGTTTCTGTGGGATATGTGCTTCCTCTGCCATACGGCCTTCTGGTTCCTTTCATTTGCCACACTGACAGGTAGCATGACCTTTAAAGAGTGTTCACTGAGGGGCGTCACTCACTCCCATTTCATTTCCCACACTGACAGATAGCATGACCTTTGAAGAGCACTCACTGAGGGTCGTCACTCACTCCACTTGCTCTTGGTACAATCACATTGGCACACCTCAGGAAAACGCTGTGTCCCAGTCACAAGCAGATAAGTCCTTCTGCTCGTCTACTTTCAATAGTTCTGGACACCAAAAGAGGCAGGCAACATGGAAGGCATTTTATAGGAGTTACATCCGCACCTCAGCCTTGCCTTGAAGGATGGTAGCAAGATTGGAAATGTTGTTGAGCAAACATGGCCCAAGGATGCCTGAGAGTAGAAACAGATGGACAGCTGTGAATGGTGGGCAAGAAGCCTCTGAGCTGGGGTGTCCATACTGAGACAGGGCTGATGTACTGATGACAATGATAACCCTAGCTTCTGGGGGGGGGGGGCTGGGGTGGACACACTGATGACAGACTTAGCTCCTCTCCAGCTAAGCCTCGGGGAGGAGCACCTGTCTGCCTTGTTCCACTCTCTCTGGTGCCCTGGATGAGTGATCCCTCACAGCAGATGAGATCCAGGCTCTCACAACTACAGTGTCCACTCTTTCCACTTGGACTGTATCTTTCCAAAGTCATGCCCTGTCTCCTCTCTTCTGACTCTCCTGCTCCTGCTCCTGTTCCTCAGCACCTCGTGAGCGAACTTGTAGCTGGATTGGTGAGTCTCAACAAAACTGTATTCTTTAAAAAGGTCAACAAGCTGGAGAGATGGAACACAGGTTAAGAGACCCCTGTAGAGGTCGAGATTTGGTTCCCAGCACCTACATGGTAGTTTGCAAGCATCTGTAACTCCATTCCAGGGAATGTGACATCCTCTTCTGGACTCTGTGGGTACCAGGCACACACATGGTGCACATACGTACATACAGGCAAACATTCAACATGTAAAGTAAATCTAAAAAGCAAACAACTGGACGGTGGTGAGTGGTAGTCCGCACCTTTAATCCCAGCACTCAGGATGCAGAGGCAGGCAGATCCATAGATCTCTGTGAGTTTGAGGTCAGCCTGGTCTACAGCATGAGTTCCAAGTCAGCTAGGGCTACACAGAGAAACCCTGTCTAGGGGATGGGGGATATAGAGAAGAAGGATAACATTCTTTAGGTTTTAAAGACTAAAACATTTGGCCTCCTGCTTCTCAAACTAAGATTCCATGCTTCTTAGGGGCTGGGGACCTGTCTTCGTCATTCTCTTGCCTATAGGACTAGTGTGGGTTGGGCACAGGGTAGGACTCAGAACATCGGATAGATGAATGCAAGGGTTGAGAACTAATATTTTGTAAAGTTAAAAGCAGTCCAATTTTGGATGCTCCAAGTACCTGGAAAAAGAGTAAGGGTAATTTTAAAAAGCCAGGTGGACATGGGTCAGGCTGCAGTTTGAGGCACCCCCCTCAGGAGGAAGGGGGGCGATGAGTTCTTTCAGATAGCTTTGCTTCTAAGCTGTGTGTGACTCCCCATCACAAAGCTGGCTATGTTGCCCTTTGAAATTCTGGTGCACTTTAAAGCCTTCTCTCATTCAGTTGTGAGGGTTCCCATATATGGGATTCCTCTGACCCAACCAGACCTACTTCTTGAGATGCTGCAGTTGTCTGGGAGGGGCTCTCGGGCTGGGTTCCGATCGCCTACAATCCGTCCTGAGTAGATGGCAAGCTCAGTGGCACCAACAACTGTCTATTACCAATAGGGAAAGTGTCTGATACTTAGAACAAGCTTTCACCATGTATATTAAAACCCTCATTGTCCAGACAAGCAAGTAAAAAGTGCAGGAATCTCTCTAGTCTGGGAGTGACAGAGCATGTATCCAGATGAGGCAGCCTGGAGTGTAGGACTGATGTTCTTTTTTACAGATTGAGAAAGTGGGGGAAGGTAGAAGTGGGTAGGAGAGACTGACCTGCGCCCTCTGTGCTAACTCCCTCAGCTTCAAGGGGACAGGCACATTTAATCCTGACGGGACTGGGTGGCTTTCTTCTTATCCAGATTTTTCAAACTACTAATGGAAGCCATCAAAAAGAAAAATAGCAAAGCATCAGCCTTCAGAAGTGTGAATAGTAGAAGAGCTACCCAGAAGGACCTTGATGACACTGAGGACTCAGGAAAGAGTCGGGTAAGCACATACTAGGAACCCCCTTTGAAGTGCATATGACTGACCCTAAGTCTGAGAGCCTTGAAGGGCTCCCATGGTCTCTAGGGGAGGTTTTGTGGCAGTTCTCAGCCTCTACAAAACGCTTCTTGGTGCTAGTCCATCTCTTCACACACCTCAGCATTTATCGGCTGCTCTCGGCCAGCAAACTACACTAACACCCAGGCATGATGGGCCAGGCCAGGGAGGCTGCCAGCAGTATGGTTTGCCCAGCTCTGGATCAGACCTATGGACAATCGTCTGATCTCAAGGGCCACCTGTAAGAAGTTTCCATCCTAAAGATGGTGTGCACTGAGCCTTTGAACGTTCTTGTTCTAGTCTCATTTTTCTCTGCATTTAACTTCCCCCAGACCACCAAGGCACTGGCTAGAGCGGTGATTTGAAGCAGACAAGTTGAACCTCAGTAATAAAAAGAGGAGGAGCAGAAAAAACTGTTGGTAGCAAAGCAGGAGGGGTAGAAGGGGTCCAGACGAAGAGCAATGTGGGAGGTCCCTAAGGCCAGGGAGCAGCACTACCCAGGGCTGTGAGCAGAGGCCAGTGCTGATGCAGTGAGCCTACTTGGGTGGGTGTCACATGTACTGGGAATTCCCTGCCTGGGCCTGTGCCGCCTGTCTCTGGGCATATCTAGAATGAGGGGGAGGAGGCCTAGATCAGAGAAAGTACTAGGTCCCTCCTGTCCTGTGGCTTTGCCATTTTACTAACGCAAGCACAGATTGATATGGATTTTTAACCATCTATCCAGTCTTTACTTAAGAGTCTAAGAAACCAGGAATCAAGGCCAGGAAGAAAAAGACTGCTCTTCTTCCTCGACCCCACTCACAATGTTGGAAAAATATTTTTATCATCTTATAATGACTTTGGGCTGCCCTCTAGCACTAAACTGCATCCCTAACCCTTTTTTAAAAAATGAAGGGATAAACAAGAGAACGTAATATATGTGACATGAAAGTGGAAGGAGAGCCACAGGAACTAAGAAACGAGCAAGGAGGGAGGATGGAGAGGGCAACCAAGGGTGAAGCATACCACGGGTAATCAGCCGCCGCAGCAAAAGCCACTGCTGGATAATTACCTACCTAGAGGTGATTCCTAAACATCTCCTGGTCGGGTGGTGGCAACTCAGAAGGCAAAGGCAGGGGAATCTCTGAGTTCAAGGCCACCCTGGGCTACAGAGTGAATTCCAGAACAGCCAAGGCTACACACAGAAACCTTGACTTGAAAACCCCAGAACCAAAAAAATCAAAGCAAACAAAAAAACCTCTTAAACATGAAAGATTTCACAGGTGCATGTAAAAGGGAACGATGTTTGCAAACCCAAGGCTAGATGAGTAGACACGGGGTAGATGGGCTAGGTTAGGCAGTGAATGGGGAGAAGATGGTTGATGGAAAGGTAGGTAGATGGACAGTTGGGACAGCTAGATTATTAAGGAAAAGGGTCATTGGGGGACAGATGGATTCACTGACTACTGGATATTAAAACTAACCAGTTTTCTCCTTGATCTCAAACCACAGAGAGAGGAAGAAGGGGATGAAGAAGAGGAGGGGAACATTGTGGATGCTGAAGCTGAGGAGGGGGATGCAGATGCTTCTGACACCAAGCGCAAGGAGAAGCAAGAGGAAGAGGTGAAGGGTGCTGGCTTAGTGCAGGGGCCTTGCTCACACCTCCCAAGGAATTCTCCCTGACCTATAGGCCATCCCTCTGTCATGCTTGGACCCCACCAGAAGTCTGAAGGAAGATCTGTCTGTTCAGCATACCTCTTGACTGAGTAGACAAGACTTTACTTGGAATCTGTCTAACTCTGAATATGAGTCAGACTCAAGGGCCCAGAGGAGTCTGACAGGGAGTCAGAGTGTCTCCTGTTTGTCCAGTGAGAATGTGAGCTCTCTCATTTTCCCCAAACCAATCCCTAGTGCCATGATCTTTCTAAGGACAGAGAGAAGATTAGACAGGCGGAGGGAATTCATAGGGGAGAAAGCTCAGTAAGTGGGTGAGCCAGGGAAGCGGTGTGGCAAGCAAGCCACACTGAGGGGGCACATCAGGACTAAGGGGTGCCCGAGGAAGGTAGATGGAAGAAGGGAAGCAGGCCAGAGTGGAGAAGCCACTAGTGAGGGCTAGCAAGGGGTACAAAGTCCAGATGACCAGAGCCTCACTGACTGCCTGCATTTCACTTCCTGCCAGGTTGACTATGAGAGTGAGGAAGAGGGAGAGGAGCAAGCGGAGGAGGAGGAGGATGCACAAGAGGAAGGGAACATCAGTGGCGAAGGTGCCCACCAGGCCCATGAGCCAGGCGAGGAAGAAGGTTCAGTCCTGGAGGAGGAATCGTCCCAGAACCCTGCCCGCCGGCACGCCAAGAGTCAGGGAGCTGAGGCGGTGGAACGCCGGATCCAGGCTGTACGGGAGGCCCACTCATTCATTGAGGACTACCAGTATGACACAGAGGAAAGCCTGTGGTGCCAGGTCAGTCTACACAGCTGGGCCAGGGGCTGTGTCTAGCATGACCATCAAGTAGAAGCCCACAAGCTCTTCTTCCTGCTGAATAACCTGAAGAACCTCTTTCCTCTTTTTAATATTTTATGTGTATTAGTATTTGCCTTCGAGGACGGCTACACAGCACATGTATAATGCCCTTGTTGGCCAGAAGAGAGCATCAGATCCCCTGAAAATGGAGTTACAGATGGTTGTGAGCCACTATGTGGGTGCTGGGAATTAAACCTGGGTTCTCTGGGAGAGCGACCAGTGTTGTTAACCAGTGAGCCATTTCTCCAGCACCCCCAGAAGACTCTCTTTATGACTGGAGACACTGTGCCTTACCCATCCCACTTTCTAACCCCTACTGCTCAGAAACAGTGTGTATGAGTCTCCACTCCAGACCTGGTAGATGTAGCTCTTCCAAATGAGCCACATCATTTAATCTCTGAACATAAACAGGTCACCATACATCACTGGTATGGCAGCTTCCTTCCTGCCAGGAGACACTATACCCTCAGTTCTGCCTGTCCCCAAATGTTCCCTGACCCCTCCTGAGGATTTCGTGATTCTGGGTGTTCGATGCTTTGATATCAGCATAGACACACTCCTTGTCTTCTCTTTTGTCACACTCCATGGTTCCCAAGTGGTAGCTTAGATAACAAAACCTCCTTGTGGGACGGACCCCAAGCCCAGTGCAACAGGCACTGCCTTGTGGCCATTGAAAGAACAGGCAGTGCAGTGGGCTTGAGTCTCCGTGTCCTCACTGACTTCTGTCGACTGTTGCCATCTTGAATTTGGGTCAAGTAAACCACCCAATATTCAGGCCTCCTGCCAGCTTCTGCAGCAGAACCCCTCTCCCCAACCAGGAGACTACTGAGTGGGCTTTGAAGGTTGCTCAGAGTGGGCCTGCAGGCTGCTGCCCTGTTCACAGAGCTAGGAGCAATGTCTTCCCTGGCCCAGCTCTTTTTCTCTTGTAGGTGACTCTGAAGCTCCCACTGATGAAGATTCATTTTGACATGAGCAGCTTGATTGTGTCCTTGGCCCACAATGCCATTGTCTATACAACCAAGGGCATCACTCGGTGCCTCCTGAATGAAACGACAAACAGTAAGAATGAGAAGGAGCTTGTGCTGAGCACAGAGGGAATCAACCTGCCCGAGATGTTTAAGTACTCCGAGGTATGTGACCCCTGCAGACTGGTTGCTGGTCTGTGACAAATCCTCAGCCCGGACCTCATGTTCTTTTGAGCTCCCAGTCAACTGACTGGACCTTACTGAGGCATATGTGCTATACTACGGTCCCCAAATCGAGTGTTCACCTCATCCATGACCCAGGAGCGCCCAGTGCCTGTTAGGTTTGCAGTATAGAAACCTGCTCACCATTAGCCCAGGCTCTCTCAGAGATTTGACAACCCTCTTTGTGTTGTTTTGTTTCCTCTTGAAATGAAGTTCTCAAAATAGAATTAAGAAACACTGTGCTGCATTGCTGGCCTGAGCGCTGCACACTTTATCTGGTAAAGGTAGCTACAGCCCAACCCAGAGCTCCCTGCAAGGAGCTGAAGGAGGTCCGGGTCTCCTGTCCCACCTACTCACCAGTCCTTTTCTCTGAGATGCTTCAGCCCCAGGGCATCAGAGCTTCCCCTCCAGACGACTAAGGAGCCTGGGGCTGGCCGCTCTGGCCCCTGTCCTCTAGCCCACATTGCCGTGTCCACGATCCCGTGCTGCTTGTGCTTCTACCACCACCAGGGAGTGATGCTCTAGAACTTCTTACCCAGAGCTTGCCTAGAGGATGAGCAGGAAACAATCTGCACCTCCTGAGGATGCCGCATGTGGCTTCCGTTCACGTGGGGTTTATTTCAAGGGCTCAGTCAGGCAGCCTGTCTCTGTCTCCTGTGGAATGTGGCTCATAGTGGGGCAGAGCCACTGAGAGCCCCGATGGCTCAGTTGGAGCCTCAGGCCTCTAGTGAGGCCCAGTAACTTGTGAGATTCAACCTGTTCGTGCCCTAGGCACCCTAGAGAGGTCTCTGCTGAGGGACCTCTCCTCACCTCCCAAGCACCATCCCAGTAAGCAGATCTTTGTTAAAAGAATAATAAACAACAACAACAACAAAAATGTTCTCGCTGAATCTAAAGTGTGTCCTGAGTTGTCTTTCGCACTGGTCATAACAGCAAGAGTCTCGGGCTCTAGCTGGTGTGCAGCGACAGTTCTGCCAGCAGCATCCTTTCCCCTCATCCCTGCTGCCTCCACACAGTTGGCACCAGCTGTACTCAGCCACTGGGCACAAGGCCAGCGAGAACGGTAGGGGACATGCACACAGAAGAGGGCTGGCAACGGGGCACTTATGTCAGTCTCTGCTCCCCTTGCCCAGGTGCTGGACCTGCGCCGTCTCTACTCCAACGACATCCATGCCATGGCCAACACTTACGGCATCGAGGCTGCACTGCGGGTTATTGAGAAGGAGATTAAGGACGTGTTTGCTGTGTATGGTAAGCAGAGCATGACAGCATGCCTGGCCTAGTTGGAGTACCCAGTGGTAAGCAGAGCATGACAGCATGCCTGGCCTAGTTGGAGTACCCAATGGCCATGGCAGGAGAACCGAGTCAACCCTGCATGCTGGTGGGAACAGAAGCCTCATTACAAAGTGTGCAGGGGCTTGAGAGTCCCCATGAGGGAGTGTGGAGGATGGTGGCTCTGACTCTTGAAGCTACTCAGTGGTGTCCCAGTTGCTGATGCCTTTGTGAAGTTCAGGGTTGATGGCTTGGCCCTTCAAGGTTCTAGATCCCAGGTCGAAATAGCACAGTTAGACAGATTTTTGTTTCCTGTGCTGCTAGGTGGCCGTGATGCACAAGATGGAGGAAATGCAGGCTGTGTCAGGGGATGCTTCCCAACTGTTTGTCTTGTCACTGCCTAACCCTCCTAATGTCTGCCCCCATGACAGGCATTGCAGTTGATCCTCGCCATCTCTCTCTGGTTGCTGACTATATGTGCTTTGAGGGTGTTTATAAGCCACTCAATCGCTTTGGGATCCAGTCAAGTTCCTCCCCTTTGCAGCAGATGACATTTGAAACCAGTTTCCAGTTTCTCAAACAGGCCACTATGATGGGTGAGTGTGGGCAGTGACTTGGGCCTTCCCTGGGCGAATGGACTTGTCCCACAGCACGTCTTTCCCCTATGCCTTGCATGCAATGATATTGGAGTCAGAAGTGGAGAGGCAGCAGACAGTAAAGGTCTGCATTCTGATGGAATAAGGGAGCGTCTCTTCTTCCAAACTCGGGTACAGTGCCACATGTGAGTGTGCAGAGCCCCTGAGGCACCCACTACACGACCTCAGCATTGAGCCCTCAGTGCCCTGACACAAGCTCTTCTGTCTTTCACAGGATCCCATGATGAACTGAAGTCACCTTCAGCCTGCCTCGTGGTGGGGAAAGTCGTCAAAGGCGGGACAGGCCTGTTTGAGCTCAAGCAGCCCCTAAGATAGCAGCCTCGCCTGGAGGACCTGGGGATGGGCACAGCTTAGTTCAGAGTGACATAGCAAAGCAGTGACCTTGGCTCCAGAAAGCAGCTGGCCTCGGCTGGGCCAGCTTCACTTTGCCTTTCCCATCTCAGGATCAGTGACAAGGCTTCCCAAGCCCTCCAAGATGGCTGACTTCACCTGTGCTCCAGGAGGCCTCAGCCAAATCCCTGACAGACGCCCAGGACTTCACTCAGGGAATTCTGCTGTGAGCCAGTCCCAGTGCCACCACTGCTTTCCATTGCTGGTGGCTAAGGAAGCATACCTGAGGGCCCCTGAAGAGCCAGAGAGGACATGAAACCTGCCCCCGTACCTGCCCTTCCCCGCTGCAGCCACTAGAGGAGAGTTCTCAAAGAGTATCCACCCAGAGCTGCTTCCCTGGGCCAAAGACAAGAGTGACACAAGGCCCTGGTCCTCCTGCCATTGCTGTATGACTGTATGACAGAGAAGACTGGCCCCACAGCCAGGAACATCTCTTTGGGACACAGCAGCTCTCTACCTCACAGAAAGCCCCAAGTTTCCCACTCGGCTTTCAGCAAGTAGCCTGACCTTCCTGCCTCTGCTCCCAGCTTGATGTCAAAGCCCACTGTCACCCACAGGCACTGCACCGTGGTGTCTTGAAGGGACATGGTAAGTGCCCTGACTGAGACAGAAGGGCAGAGGCTTTGTTAGGCACTGCCATTTCTATTTGTGTTCACTGTTGTTCCAGCATGGACTGAGTAATAAATGTGGCCGGGACAGGCTGTTGGGGGAGAATCAAGACTTGGGTTTTTAATCTCTTCCCTTCGTTTGTGGTTTCTGCATCTGGTAATTGGGATTTTCTTGGCACAGTTAAAGAGTTCAGGCACTTCTTCCTGCTTTTATCTAGCAGTGTAGGGGCAGATCTCATTCCCCACAGTCTTCATCTCTGACTCCCGCCCATGGCCCCATGGCTAGAAGCACAGAACAGAAGCCTGTGGGAAGAATTTGTGTCAACCTTTGTAGGAGAGAGGGCTGCCGTGGCCTCAAGGGCGAGCTGGGCTAAAGGTAGGCCTTGCCAAGAGAGAGAGTCTGCAGCCTCCTCCAGGCTCATGAAGGGACCCAGCCTGTTCCTTCTGTGCACACCCAAGAAAGCCAGCACCTCATGACAGACAGCAGGACATAGAAGAATGTCACAGGGAGGCAGGCATACAGGAAGGGTCCCTGTAAAACCCTGCCCTGAGGACGCAGCCTGCAGGATAAAGCATTCATTCTTCTGGTCAAAAGGCAAGCTCATTAGTCACTTTCTACTCAAAGAAGAATGATGAGAGGGGGTCCTTGTAGGAAATACCAAGGTAATACAGTAGCTGTGGCATCTAGAGAATTAATGGGTATGTGGTTTCATGGTGTCAGCCTTCCATGGAACTGAAGTGCATGCGGCTAAAGGAGCAAACCCTGAATGTAAAAGCATGGCTGGGGACCGGTCACCCTTACGCCTGACCTGTGACCTGTACTAGAGCCTGAGGTGATAGCATCTACCCACCCACACAGCTGTTTGATCCCCACTTAATTAATCTTTGTCACATTTAGCTTGGACCTACTGTGGCTCGTCTGAAAAGTCAAAACCAGTTCAGAAAAAGAACATTTGCAATCCTGAGGATCCTCCCAAGATTGTTGCCATAAGCTGCCAGGGAGACCAACCTCAAAAGGTTCTGAACAGAGAAACACCAAAACTGTGAAATGACCCAGTGAGAGGGAGGTGAGCAGGCTCCAGACACGAAAAACTAAGTGTGCTCTTTTCTACTCATCTGCTTGGGAATGGAGTCATATTCCCCCCATTCAGTGCTTAAGACAGCCCAGGACTGCTCATGCTAGATCCTACCGCAAAACTCTGTCCCCAGCACCTGGGGAACATTTTAGAAGGCTGATTACAGAACCACACCCCAAGATTAGCATAGAATGGTCTTGGGTGCAACCTGAATGTGAAAAGAGCTCCAGAAAAGAGTATACAGCAAAAGTTGAAAAAGCCACAGGCTTAGTTAACCTCCATTGCTATAACTAAAAGCTAACTAACTTCACTTAAATGTGAGATGGCGTCCCGAAGTGAGTCACTAGCCCTAGGTCCTACAGTGAGCTCTAAATAGCTAATGTCTCCTGGTTGCATATGTCTGCAAGGATTTTAAGGGAAGCTTAAAGGAAGCTGCAGTGATCTAACACACATGAAGCTTGGCAGAAGATAGGTGTGGTTCTCAGCAGGAAGCTTCTGAGGGCAGCACATTAGGGAAACTTCGTGTCTGCCTTTCAAAGTTCCTGCCAGGGGGACACCAACAGGACCAAAAGAAGGGATGCTTGACCAGCCAGTATTTCCTCTGAAACAGTTCCATGAGAAATTTCCATCAAAAGTTTGGCTTGATGACACACACCTGTAATTACAGCACTTGGGAAGCTGAGGCAGGAGGATCTCATGTTCTAAGTCCTCCTGGTCTACATGTGAATTCCAGACCATCTTGAACTACATAGCAAGATCCTGTTCAAAAAAACCCAAAAAACACAAGGGCTGGAGGTGCAGCTGCGGGGGAGAGTACCCTTGCAAGGACCTGGGCCACCCCCAACACAGCAAATTAAAAACTTATTCCCCGAATGTCCAAGAAAAACTGTCCCTCTAGTTCATCAAGTGCCTCTGTCCTTCTGTAAATACTAAGGAGGTTGGGTGCAGGTCCTATGTGTCACTGAAGGCTCCGCAATGGCTGCACCAAAGCAAGGTGTCAGCAGGGTGGTCATGTGCTCAGTGGCACCTGCTGTTGTTTGCCTGTGCCTGAAGATGGCACCCAGTGCCCATGCTCCTAGTTTCCTCGCATCCTGCATCCATCCCACCACAACCTCTGTTTGTGTGAACCATGTGGGCGGGCCCTACTCTCATGGAACTAGTAATACATGAGCCAAACACACTTCACCAAGGAGTTCTGCCTCATTACTGACACCCAAAATGTACCCAGAAGGCATGGTGGTATGCACCGTGCACTCCCCTAGGTAGGACCAAACTGCTGGCTTTATGGGGAAGAAAGAAGTCACCTGGGCGCTCAGAGGCCAGAAGAGAGGAAAGTCAGGAAAATGGTGAGTTCAGTCATTGCTTCCCCACCCCCTACCTCCCCACCCTTTCATCCCCCCACCCCCCCATACTGCTCCAGCCATATGTGCCTCTGTGTCTCTGGCAAGTCTGAGTTTGTGTGTGAGCAAGGCCTGCTGGCCCTGCCTGGTGCTGTGTTCTAGACTGGCTGTCCTTTGTACTCTTGTCACAGGAGCTTAGAGCCTCAGTGGCCTAAACTGAGCACCCTTACTCAGGATTCTTTTTTTATCTGGGTAGGTGGGTGAGTATGATGTATGTATTTGTGTGTTGGTGCACGTGCACATGTGTGTGAAGGCCAGAGGCCAATGCTGAGTGTCAGTGCTCAATTGCTTCCTGTCTATTTTCTGAGAAAGGGTCTCCCACTAAGCCCAGAATTCAGAGGTTGGCTACTTTACATAGGTACTTATTATCCAAGCTCAGGTCCACATGCTTACTATGACTTTAATGGCAGCCATCTTCCCAGCCCTGCCCCAAGATTTTCACACAGAAATACGAGCCTGACATTCTAGTCCATGCAGCTAGTCAAACTTCAAGGAAGCAGTGATACAATGAGGCTGTGTCTCAGCAAGACAGTAGGCTGAGGACTCTAAACTTACAAATAGGACACTTTCTGTGCTTCCTTTCTCTTGTGTGTAAAATGGTGATTAGCAAGTGTTCATAAAGTCATACACAACTGTGTTTACCTATACACCAGGTAGTTCTCATCTGGGCACATTTACACTCCCTTCCATGCACACTTGCAACTTTTGTCACAACTGTAAAGATGCTACTGGCACTAGGGGTTACAAGTTCAAATGCTGCTGTAGTTCACAGTATAGTCTTCACAGCAAAGAATCATCCAGCTGCCAAGTGTCTTGCAAGACTGAAATCCTCACCACACACCGCCTATGGGGTGGATGTGCTTTCTTTTATAAGGTGGAATCAATCCTTTACGCCTTAGTCTCCCCATAGATAAAACAGGCATTTCACTGTTCCTTCAACTCATAGGTCCCTATACATAGAATGTTTCTTAATGGTTGCTCATCCTTTGCACTTCAGAAAATTGCCTGTTTGTTGCGCCTCTGTGTGTGTGTGTGTGTGTGTGTGTGTGTGTGTGTGTGTGTGTGTGTGTGTTATATAACCCAAAGGTCAGCCTCAAGTGTTGTTCCTCAGGTGTTGCCCACTTTATTTATTTATTTTTGGTTTTTCATGATGGCTTCTGTGTGTAACAGCTCTGGCTGTCCTGGAACTCTCTTTGTAGACCAGACTGGCCTCAAACTCATAGATCCACCTGCCTCTGCCTCCTGAGTGCTGGAATTAAAGGCCACCACTGTCTGGCCACTTTATTTTCTTGAGACAGGTTCCTCACTTGCCTTGAACTTGCCAACTAGGTTAAGCTGGCTGGCCAGGGAGCCTCAGGGGTTCGCTTGTCTCTGCTTCCCCAGTCCTGGGTTTATAGGAGCATAATACCACACTGGCCCTTTTTACCTGGTTCCTGTGGGTCCTCAAGCCTGCATGGCAAGCACTTTACCAACTGAGCCAGCTCCCCAGCCCCTCCTTCATTACCTTTTGGTTTTATTTTGTTGTGTTTCTGTTTGTCTATTTTAAAGAATTAATTTGTTGTATGTAAAAATAGCTTTTTATAACCTGCCTTAAATAGTCTCTCCCAGATCGTTAAATGAGGAGATAAAATAGGTGAAGAAATCGGTGCAGAGTTCAAGCTGGCAAAACCTTCCATAAGGTCAGCTCTGAACAGGACACAGTAGCATGTGCCTGTAGTCCCTGGTATTTCAGAGGCTGAAGCTGGAGATTTGAGACCAGTCTGGACAGTGCAGTAAGATGCTGGCTCGGCAAATAAATAAAAAGATAGGAAAAAAGATCTGCTTTTGGCTGCCCTAACAGGTCACTTAATGTGGCTGGAGCATTTTCTAGCATACATAGATTAAATAAAAAGCAAATATTGTAGGTGACTGCCGGAAGACTGTGATTATGATGGCATCCAGGTGTGCTGGTACTGAGAATGGAAAATGACTAGAAGGAACAGAAGGAAGCCAGCTCTGCCCTCTGAGGATTCTGTGCTGTTACAGTTGCCCACTTTTACCTGTGTGTTGCCACACATGGGGCCAACCTAAGTCCTTTATCCTTAGCTAGCTCACCCAGCCTAGCATCAACTAGGTAAGGGGGTGTGACTCCTTCCGTCAGCTTTCATCCATTTGCTCAAGGACACAGTCAACAAGCATGTGGTAGACGGAGGACCTGAAGCCAGGCTGCAGGCCCAGAGACACACTCATCTCCTTCCTGTATCCAGCCCCTTTGTTCAGAAGAAGAAGGTCGCTATCATCCAGGGACTGCCCTTCACAAAATACAGATCAGGAGCATCTCCTCTTGGTTGTATCTGTATGTGGGGAGAACTCCCCAGAGCAATCTCCCTATGGAATCTCAAGTTAGGCTCCAAGTCATAGAAAGGCAGACTTGGAAGTTCAAGAAAAGTATCAAGACCTGAATTCTCAGTTACTCAAAGGAATCTACAACCCTGTGGCTTAACTGCAAAGGAAACCTGGTGTGGACAGGTATGCAGGCCATCTGTGGTGCCATGTGATCGAATCCATGGCTTGCTTCCTATTGGCTGTTTAACAGAGAACTAGATGTACTTAGAAAAAGTGAAAATGTCACACATCTCAAGGAAGACTCAGTGC